TTCTTTCTTTTTCTTCAAAAATAATTATCGCAATATATATAAAAAATAAGCTTTCAGGCTGAACCCCCCTCCCCCCAAAATCAAATTCAGGATCCGTTAGTGTACTATATACAAAAAACTAACTTAAAAGAATCCCTTATTAACTATGACTATTCATTAACAAAAAACTGTAAATTATTACACAATGGTTTATTATTTCCAAACAGTTATATATTATATCGTATACACTATGTTGAAGAAACGAATGCGCAAAGTTAAAGAGGCACACATTTGTTATTTTAACATGGTGCCGAGGATATGTAAGACTATATCCTTGTATCCTTGTATAAAACAAAAAAAAAAGATGATTCCTAATATAGGCCTGAATATTTTATTTTCATCATTAGTAATTTGCTAAGGAATATAGAAAAAAATCCTCGATTGCTTTAGATGATGTAAGACTTTCCAAAAATAAAAACAAAGGATATTAACTTTACAGCAGAATGTGTGGAATATATTTAGAACAACATGTTTCTGAACCAAATCGTCCGATTTCAACGATTCTTTTTTTTCGGAAATTTCATAATATTTTAAATGGCCATAACAAAGAACACACAAAGTATGTCTTATAGAGTTATTCAAAAATCTAATTTTATCATCCCTCTTAACTTTTTTTTCAACTTCTTCTCGGTGAAGCATGTTGTATAGATAAATTTCTTCGAAGGAAATCTTCGAAGGAGGCGACTTTAACCTAGTTTCAATGAAGTCGGTACATTCGTTAAGGCGCTACAGTCTAAACGGTACAGGTTTTTCGGTAGCCATCTTGATAGATCAATCACTTTTCGGTATAGTATATTATATATATATATATATATATATATATATATATATACATATAAATTTAAAAGGCTTTGAGGAAAAGATGTTGGCCAAGTTTGATTAAAACTGGTACATTAGTTAGGCGATACAGGTTTTTCGATCGCCATCTTGAAAGGAAAGGGCAGATGGTAATCTCGAGTTCCGAGGATCATCCTTGGGTGCCCTTTGATATTGATACCGATTCTCCAAACAATCTGTCCAGTAGTCTCTGAGAAAAGCAGCGGATGGCTTGAGTAAGATGGTCCAGGGAGTCTTTATGAGCCTTCCTTAGGAAAGTTCATAAATAATGTCTTAAAGGTGAGCATGTAAATGTAATTATTAGTAAGGTGATCTTGAGGAAACTTCCCCAAGAGCGAAGACGCAAATTTTCTATTTTAGTTGGGGGGAGATGGACCCCAAAAAAATCTCGAGAATTTATATTATGTATAAAAATCATTAGACATGATTATTTTACAACGAACAATAAAATATAACATATAAAAATAAATTAATGTATATTTTTATTTATATATTAATTCTTTTTTTCTACTAAGTATATATTTGAAAATATGTCAATAAAGCAATTGACATATATTACATATGTGAATCTTTATTTAAAGGTTTCAGGCATTTGAGATGAACTCTCAATTCTCGGATGCTTCGAATTTGTCGCGAGAAATGTGATAAAATTCACGCAAAAGTGGAAGGGTGCACATGAGTAAATCATAAAAAAATATTTTTATATAGTTCGTTTTACAATAATTATGTTATAGTCCGAGGTACACACCCTTTTTTATCGAATTATTAACATCCGCCTGAAACTTCATAAATAGTTTCATCTCATTGCAACCTACAACTATTTTTTTTACGAAAACTCATGGAATTGCGCCGTTTTCAATCTGGAGAAGGGCAAACTTTGTCTATGTAATTAGGTACTAAGAACTCGTAAATACAAATTTGATTTCTACTCTAATCGTAAAATAATTTGATCACAAAATAGAGAAAAAAGATGGCCTTCAAAAATATTGAGTCGTTTGGCGTGACCTACACCCCCAAAATTTCAAAATAACGAGGTTATATAGGACAAACGGCCCAATATTTTTGTAGATCAACTTTCATATCTATTTTGTGATCAAATTATCTTACGATCCAAGCAGAAAGCAAATGTGTATTTACGAGTTTTTAGTACCTAATTAAAATTGACAAAGTTTGCCCCCCTCCAAATTGAAAACGCCCCAATTCCAAGAGTTTTGCTAAATAAAATAGTTGTAGATTACGATGAGATGAAACTATTTACGAAATTTCAGATGGATGTTAATAATTAGATAAAAAGGGGTCTGTACCACGGACGACTATTATGTTAAATATCGCTCATAATTTTTATACATAATATTAACTCCCGAGACTTTTTTTGGGGGGGGGGGGAGTGGAGAAGTTGTCCATCGCCTCTTCCCCTCTCCCAACCGGAATAGAAAGCCTGCGCTTATGTGCTGATAGTGTTTTTCATATTCCTTCCATTCCTCTAGTTGAATATTCTTAAAATTCTAATCAATTCCGACAAAATAATTCTGAAAATAAATAGGATCCAAACAAATATTTATATTTTGAATGCAAGAATTCCAAATATAAAAACAGCATTACATATTCCATTCTAAATCAGGAATGAATAATGTCGCAAATACTTTTTTCATTAAAAAAAAAAACAATAAAAAACGCACAAGGCAACATAAAAACGGATAGCTAGCTATGTTTTGTTTCTTTTGGATTAATACAGGTTTTTAAGCTGTTGAGTTTGACGCACTCGTTAATCCCGGAATGGTAATAGCTATAAGTGGAATTAATAGCACTGCTTCGATACGGTATTTCTGGTCACTATAATGATGAAATTATTGGACAGCGACTAAGACAGACCTCGTGCAATGACGTCATCTCCCTTCCCCTAAAAAAAATTAATTTATTTTTTAAGCTGTTTTACAGTATGCATTGTTTCAATTGTATTCCAATCAATATTTTCTTAATATTGTGGTCGGTACTTGCCTTATTAACAGGCTTAAATTAATTATTTTAATAAGTTTTGTCATTTTTTGAATTAATTTCTAATAAATGGTGACCTCAAGGTCCTCCATTGTCCCACCCTAAGGCTAGAACAGTTATTGGGCACACTGCTGTAAAACCTTAAGGTGTTGTTTGAAAGATCATGTCCAATTTAAATTATACAAAATGTGAGTTCAGCTATCTTCATTTATTTTAACCAAAAACAAAGTTTCTGCACTATTGTAAGATGTTCTTCGGTTTGGTAAATTGCAAAGAAAAAAATATTATCTTCAGCTTGACACTATATTTCATGACAAAACAGTCTTCCGGCTTAAGCTGTTGAACTTTTTGAATATGATACGAATGAAAACCTTTTTGTTGGATTATTCGAAATGCCTGTGATATTGAAATTATTGAAGAAAAAATGACCTGGCTTAACAAATCAATTTGCACTAAAAGTCCGTAGATAAATAAAAAATTAATCCTTACCACCACAAATACGAATATATTTTTACTTTTTAAGCCCAGAAAGGAAGCGAAGTTTGGTAAATATCACAAATGAGATGCTTATCATAAGGCATAAAGATAGGCAGATCAAAAAAACATTTATTAGGACATTAAGAGTTTGGCAAATTATGCTTCTACCATCGTGTTGAATATGAAACACACAGTTGTTTTTTTTCTAATAGTTACTTATTTTTAAAATATTTTAAATATGGTGTTTATGGCAGTGGTGTAAGTAGCACCACTGTTACCGATATGACGCTCTAACCATCCCTAAGGAATGAGACTACAATTAGTTGTTTTTTTCTGAAAGAAAAGAAGGCACAGAAAAACGCTTTCATTATCCTCCTTAGTTATGCTATAATTATATGTATGGCACCAAAGAGACATCCAAATGGTATTTACAAAGATTGGATATTTAAAAAAAAGTCTCGCTGAAATGATTCCATTAAAGCATTTTCATTATTTTTGAGAATTTCACTTTGAGATTCAAATTTTTTTCATGTCACAAGTATGTATGATCTTTGTCCACCAATAACCATGACAGGTGAGGCATACAATCCACTAAATTAAAAAAAAAAAATCTAATATGTTTCTCTGTAATTCGTGTGCCTATGACCAATAATCAGTTGTAAGCCAATAACGGTATGCCATTAGATGTTATGCAGTGATATGATCATGAGTTCCTTTTATTTTCTCTCCTGATACCTGAATTGATAGGTTATTTTATTTGTTTTCTGCATTTTAGACACAAAGGTTTGTTGTTGGAATTTTTCTAATTATAACATAACATACAATTGATAAATATATTATATTACAGATAATACACTGATTACTAAGCTAATACTTTGTGTTTGGTGCAATATCCCTCTTCTCTTTCTCGAATGCATGGTGTTGCGTGATTTAAGTACCACATCAGATGCTCTATCTCTGGACTTCTATTTGACACTATTTTTCGGGACATTCTGTGTAATAAATATATTACTACTCTTAATTCCGGAAATTGGTTTTCAATTTGTAAAAATATTTCCTATTTTTCTGCTTCACTTTACCATGAAACTCTTTCATAGCTTAGATCAATCCATTTTTATAGCTTCTAACACTTGAAAACATTAATTATTCCAAATAAACAAGATTAAAGCTAATTTTGAGAACATTTTGCAAATTGAATATTTAAAAATCAGTTCTAACATTTAAAGGTTTATTTCTCTATATTAAACCTATATTTTGGGAGGAAAAATCTCAACTGAAAGGTGTAAAATATATTTCTTGTTTGCTCTGACAATGAAACCAGTACCGTTTATTGTTAAAAGTGGCTCTCAATTTTCGAGGTTAGACGTAAATTTTACTTATATAGTTTGCCTAATTCTTCTGCTTCTAATTACTCCATATATATTAATATTTAATTAAATTTAAGCCATGTCAGACTATTTCAGTACACATTTATAAAAGTTTAATAACAGATTAAGTGAAAATTAAAAAAATAAATAAAATAAATCTTCAATGATAATTAAATGACACTTCCACTAAGTAAAATTTCAACAAAAAAGTTTGTTAGTAGACCTAATAACATCCATTTTTCTAGAAAATTAGGATATGAAAATTTTTAAAAGTAATTATACTTAGTTCTTCTTTGGAATTAAGTTGTAGTCTCAGATTGTGCTGGTTACTCTAAGGAATTAACTACATTCAATCCATTTATTTATATTTTTGCATACACAAAACAAATAGGAACATCTTTACATGCATGTTACAATATACTTCAAATGCTAAGGCGATCAAACAATTAATAACATTGTCATAGAACAAGCAAACCTTTAAAAAACAATTTTAAATGCCTCAGGGTCCTAGATAATGTAATTAATCACTGTGGATTAGTCATTTATCTATGTACTTAATTTTTAAATACCGAAATCACAAATGCATTGGTCTGCTGCTTTGCCCGCTTCTTTCATTATATATATATTTAGGTGAGTGAGTATAACTTCGGTTTTGTGTAATGAAAATAAGTGTATTTAAAGCTCAAAAAACTGAACTAGGGTTCATAAAATGAAATCTTGTTCAACAAATTTTTAGAAAGATGTAAGCTGTGGAAAAACATACTATGCATTTGAGCCTACTAAAATTTTAATTTCTCAAGAATATTTTGGAAATTGATAAATTTAGTAGATAATCCAAACAATTTCTATAAAAAAACAAAACAATTTTTATAAAATACTTGGTATTTTCTATTTTAGGAGTTAGCAAAATTATACAGATGTATCCACCTGTTTTCAATAAATATTTTTCCACTAAGAAAAAAAAAAAAGGATGAATGCATTTTTTAAGAGTAATACAATACAATGCAAGTTAATAACAATGGGTTAAGAATAATTAAATGACATTTAGACATGAATATATTTCAAAAAGTAAAACATAATTACACATTTATAACATTATTGTTGAAAATTCATAATTTGTATTTCGAAAACAGAAAATCTGTGAACAGTAACTTTATTCCTATTGATATATTATTATGGAATAACAAACATTCAAAAATTTTATTTTCTACCATAAAAATTACCTATATATTAAGTTTTTTAAATTAATTTTTATTTCTTAAAATTATTTTTATACATTTTTTAAAATATTTTATGTAATGTTTAAGTGTTTGCGAGATTCAACAAATTTGTTTTGAATAAATTTTTTGGCAAACACTATACAAAAAATCTATCAAAAACTATATTTTACACAGATAACATACATATAATGTATAGTTATTAATAATTCATTTCTTTCATCATCCTCACGACTTATGCGAAGCTCACAAGGCATGCCTATTTTATACTTACACCATGCTTGAGACGACGCATGTAAACAAAGTTAGATTTAACAATCTAAAGAGAAACAATATTTCCTCTACTGTTAACATTTATAAATTCAAAACAGGAGTTTTCTTGGGTCTTCCTCATTGACACCGCTAAAACAATGATTGTTAAAGATCATTAGATTATAACATAGTGGCAGTTTTCCTTATTATCTTTCTTAAAAATTAAACTTTACTAATAATAAAACATCTTATTGTTTTGGCGGAAATGAGAGAATGAGGGAGACCGATGGTTAAATGTTAAATATTCATCACAATCCAAGAAAAAAAGTACACAAAACAAAAACACTTGTGTTATTATTATTTAAACGGTGGGAGGGGAAGGGAAACAATTAACAATACACCATCTATACTCATAGGCAGGAAAAACGAAAAAAATAAAGAATATTATAAGTTAACATAAAAAATCATATTTTACAATATTATATCTCACTCAAAAGAAAAACAAAAATAATAAGAAAAATAATATATATTTGAAAAAGCTATTAAGATGTTTACATATACACAATTAAGGACCTGAGCTTATGCCACTATCCTCATTTTCAATAAAATTATTATATATATTTATATTTATATAAACTTTATATATATTTATAAATTGTAAGTATTTATACATTTATACTTTAAACAACTAACAAGAGAGGCCTCCTTAAAGTGGGTCCTTTGATGACACCCAAATTGTTGGACCAGACTGATCCTTGATAACCATGTTGACTTTTTGGTAAATTTCTTCTGGCGTGTCACCCTGAACAATCGCTAAAACAGAGAAAGAAAATAACCTTAGTTAATGAAAAAAAAAACATTTTGAAAAAAAAATTTCTTTTTTAGACCATACAGATTTTGTTGAAAAATCAACAGGCAAAAATACTTTCTTTCTGGCAAAATAGGATTTTGACGAAAACATTAAGACAAAAAAAAAAAAAAAAAAAAAAAAAAGATTACAGCGAATGGGCCAAATAGTCCTCAAGTGGGAGTCAAACACACAAAGTTCAGATCTGAAAACTCTGGGACCCACGCTATCCAATGTGCTCAGCCATGTCCGCTAGGAACAAGTATACATGTGTAATGATTTAAATGAAGTTGCTTTCCAGTTGATATAAATTTATACATATTTTTGGCCATTCTCAATATCAAGAATGAAAGTTTATGTATAACTAGTTATATATTAAACTTAAGGCTTAAATTCCTGAACTCTTAACTAAACTTATACCAATTATTTTTTACAATATACAGATAAATTACCAAGATGAAGCACAGAATCTGAAAATAACTATGCAATAAAGAAAGAGCACAATTTAAAGAATTTTATCCTTTGGTAAGAAAAAAAATAAATTAAAAAATCTGATATAAATAATTTATATTTATTTTAATTTCAAGTACAGTTTATTGTGGTAAGACTTTGTATTATTTGCTAAGATTTCAAAGACGTCAGATGCTTACAGATAACTGTAAAGTAAATTTTTTAAACAAATTTGAATCTGTATATCCTTTATGAAATAGCTATAGTAAGAACTGTTGGAATTCACATGAAAGATTAAAAGTGGCAAAGAATAGTATTGATTAGATTTGGGTCCTAATCAAAAGTGAAAAATATTGAGGATAATTCTCATTGCTGATAGTTTACTCATTGTTATACTATTTCAGATACCTATGAGTAATATAGCTGAATGACTTAGAATTATCTTTTTCAGATGAAGATAAACTATCAAAAATGCGATATCTGTACAACGACAAAGCTTACTCACTTAAGAGAGATAAGGTAGGTTTGAAATGAACTTCTAAAGAAAGATACGGTAATATATTTTACAAAAAGGAGTAAAATTTACTCATGTATATAAAAAATCTGGTACGTTCACTATTCTCCAATGACAATTCTACTTCAAAAATCAATTATTGTCTGGCAAAATTGGGCAATTACAAGGAGTTTTTGAATTTTGGTCATATTCATCAATACAAAAACTCATTAAGACCATCAAAATAACATAAACCCTATTTATTATACCCATTGTAGGCTATAAAAACCTTATAACTGGATCAGTCTATTTGAATCACATAACTCCAGTCTCTGAGCTCAACAGAAAAAGAGAGATTTGAAAGAATATTCATTTAATTATGAAAAAGTAAGATTTGTACAACATAATAAAAATTATAGTTATTAAATATCTATTACTTTTAACATATATTTAAATTCTTATTTTTTATCCTTGGAAAATTTATCAAAATAAAGTTACCTGCTTTTAAATACAACATTGAAAGGTCAAAAGTCTTCACACTAATTTTAAGTAGATAATGTGATTTCACAAAAGGGAAATTTCTTTTGGAATAAATAGATGATGTATACCTAATTATTTAAATATAATATGAGATCTAGGGTTATTAAACTATAGTAAATGTATTTAAGATTGTAAAAACATACATTTTACATTTTATTTTTTTAAACAATGTCATTGCCTTGATACCTTTATGATTTTATATTGATTTTATATACTTTTTTAAACTTAAAAATAATTTTAAAAGTTTACATTTAGTTAGGAAATTTCATTTATTTCCTTGGAAACATATGATTTTCTTTAAACAATATTAGTTTTAAAAAAATAATTATTTATAATTTTTTTATCACTCTCCAATAACTTCTACGACTTCCTATATTAGATAAAGTTTCTTCTAAAGTCGTACGCTTTCTAATAATATATTATATATGTACCATCTGACTATTATTCCCAGAGTTTCATTTTCGACCTGGAAAAGCATTTTTATTTTTTCTCGTTTATTCAATTATCAAATTCTTTCAAAAGTTATATTTAGCCTTTTTTCATAACTCCAAACAATAAGAGATAATTAATTATTTAAAAAAAAAAATTAAATGTACTTTAGAGGAAGACATTTTGAACATTGGGCATTTAAGCTCTATTAAGTGGCATCAATAGGGATAAGATCTAAATGATATTAAATACTATTTAATTATACAATCATACACTGAGTTCAATAAAAATTGTTAGAACCGTTTTTGAGAAAATCTTAAAAATGTGTTTAGTCGATTCTATAAAGTGTCACTTCTGGTTAGCCGATTTTGACCAAAAAGTTGCTTTAACATCCCAAGCATACATAAACCTTGAATACACAATTTCAGTTTCGTACAACTTTTCGTTTTTGAGCTAGGCTGTTCAGATACACACATAGACTATTTTGTGGGAGTTGGTTATTTGGACTCACGGAACCACAAAACGTGTATTTCCATTGGAAACTTGGATTCAAAAATTTTCACAATAGCAATACTTACCCTTACTATATATTACATATATAGGTAAGTGAAAGTAAAAATATACTCTCTAGAGGTGAAGAAAGAAAAAAAAAAACAATGAAAAAAGATAAGATGCAGCTTTAAAATTGTATTTCTCTATATAAAATAATTGATAATTAATTTTATTTTTTGTATATTCAATATAAGACAAGATTATTCAATAAAAGAACAAAATAAATATGAAAATATTTTAGTTACTTTAATTTAATAGGTTATAGCTGATGATAAAAAACAAACAAAAAGGCTGATTACAAAATAGCATAGGTTTACAATAAAAATGACAAATGTAAAAACAAAAATTATCAAAAGGAACAAATTAACTACCCATCTTAATCAGATTCATCTTGCCGATGACAAAACATGCATGCATGTATATAAAAATGACTCCAAAATAAACAGCTAGCAGATCAAAAAGTTTAATTCAAGCACAAACAACAAAAAAATCCAAGAAAAATTATGACACTATACTAAAAGAGTGGACGTGTGGTGTACAGAGACTGTGGAAAGTGGTTTGAAAAAAAGAGGTAACACCAAAACTTTCAATATTCCACCATCAATGCTTTATACAATTTTTAAGAAAAAAAAAAATTTACTATGTCATTTGCATGGAAATCACAAATTGGATAGAGACGATAAATTCCCTATTGTTGAGGATTTGTTAATCAAGTGGCTCCAACAATGTAGAGCACAAAACTTACCTGTTGGAGGTTCTCAAAGCAAAATCAAAGGACTTCGCATCGAAATTAGAAATCACAGGATTTGTCAACCAAATGACTGATGGTTGACCAATTTTAAAAATCAATGTAATATTGTGTAAAAAAAAAAAAAAATTGTGGAGAAAGAGCAAGTGTGGATTCAAATGTATGTGACCAATGGAAAGATAGCATAGACTACACTATAGAGAATTACGGATCTGTTAAAACTTTTAATATCATTTTTATTCTTTAAGGATTTAGTGCAGAGAATATCAATCTGACGCATTTTGGAAACAGGAGGCCTTGAAGAGGAAAGAAACTAAACATTGTTCAATGAATTTGCAAGTAGCTAAAGTCTTAATCTTAACTAGTTTTCTAGCAAATCCATCTTAAGACAAGAAGAAATTGATTGGAGTTTTTAAGTCAATTCCATAACAACAAGGAAGTCTTGGCAGTGTAGAATATACTTATAAGTTTGAGTATTTGAAAATAAAATCTGAATTCCATGAACCGATGGAGCTGTCTCAAGCGCAGCTGGATTTAATATAGCTTTTACTTTTTAAAAATCATTCTCAGACAAATATGAAGTATTTTGCATACCGACACAGATCTGTGAATTGGTGCTAAGAAATATCTTCAAACATGAACTGCCTCATGTAAAGATTAGTTCAGTTATCACTTTCTATAAACAATTCAATAAAAGTGGAACGATTTAAATGACAAGAATCACTAATATTATTTTTAATACAAGGATCAATGACACATGTTTTGCAATTTTTTTTCTTTTTTTGCTGCAGCAACAACAGCTAGTGAAACCTGAACACAATTATAAAAGCATTATTGAATTTTGTCTAATATTAATTGGAAGGAATCCAGATAACAAAATTAAAATCATATCTCTTGGATTGCTACAACATATTTTTTGTTATTAAGTAAGCCATTGCTCATTGACCTGGACAAGTAAAAATAACATATTTCGGTTAAAATAAAAAAAGGAAACCATGGTGTTTCATTTGCTGCATTGAAAACATTTTACAACCAACTAAGTTTTTAAACTAGGAAATGTGAAACAATTTTGACATTAACTTTACAACTTAATTTTTTGATGCCATTGAAATAAATCATTTAATAATAATTGCTCATGGTAAAGATATTTTGTATTGTTCCTACCTAACTAATAAGCCAAATATATTGATAATTTTGGATGTAAATATTGATGGTAATTAAAATTTGTAAACGATTAAGAATTTTTAACAAGAGGACCATGTGGAAAAGTGATACAATGCTCACATAAATGAAGTTTCTCTACATTAACATAAAGTTTTTACTTTTTGAAATTATGATCTTTTCTTTTTTGAAATCATGATTCAATGTCAGTTTTTTTTTTTTAAATGATCTTGACTTCTAATTAAAATCTTCTCTTTTTTTAAATTACTAATTACTTTAAGGACAAAGATTGGATAATGTTACTCTGAATAGTGATTACCAATTATTTTACTCAAATATTAACCTTTTTTGAGTACACAAACAATTTAATTACTACTTCAGTTGATGTCAAACAATTAACTGAAGTAGTGATTGAATTCTCAATAGCGATTCAATTTGAATAAAATACTTGGTACTCAGTACTCAGAGAAGCATTTGCCCATCTCTGTTTACAGATCCATTTATTATTAATAACTTACTTATTTATTAACCATAGAAATAAGATTACTTTTATGAGAATGTTAGGGTATTACGTTGTCACTACAAACAAACATATATATTATAAAATTTGTACTTAGTACTTGTAAGAATTCAACAGCGACAGAAATAAACACAACAAATAAAAATATCACATATATATGAGAAGGAATTAGTCGAGGGTGCGGTCAAAATAAAAAAATTAAAATATATAAATAATTTTAATTTTTGCCGACGTTTTGACCCACTTTGCAGGTCGTCTTCAGGGCTACAAAAGATACAAACATGTTGAAAATATAAAAATAAAATAAAAAATAAATATAAGTATATATAAATTATGAAGAAGTTGTCAGATACAGAAATAAAAGATAAAGAAAATAAATACATGATAAGAAAATAGATAAAAGAAAATAAATACATGAATGTTAACGAATAAATGAATGTTAACGAATAAATTGATTAACATTCATTTATTCGTTAACATTCATGTATTTATTTTCTTTTATCTATTTTCTTATCATGTATTTATTTTCTTTATCTTTTATTTCTGTATCTGACAACTTCTTCATAATTTATATATACTTATATTTATTTTTTATTTTATTTTTATATTTTCAACATGTTTGTATCTTTTGTAGCCCTGAAGACAACCTGCAAAGTGGGTCGAAACGTCGGCAAAAATTAAAATTATTTATATATTTTAATTTTTTTATTTTGACCGCACCCTCGACTAATTCCTTCTCATATCATATCAATGGTCAACCAACTCTACATCATTATGATCACATATATATATTTAAAAAAAAGGTATCCTACATTTCAAAATGTTAAAATAATGTAAACAAAAAACAGTTGAATAAAGGGAGAAAACCCATCAAAGTTTATATATTATTATTGGGAAATCAATAAATGAAATTCACATGAGAAATATTTTTAAAAATCTATAGAAAAGAAACACTTCTAAGGACAATTTTACTCACCTGTGAAATATTCACTGAAATCTTGTTCAAGCTTAAGTGCCCTTTCAAATGTTTTCTTGGCCTGTTCTTCTGTCATTCTTTTGCTCATTTCCCTATAAAAAAATAAAATAAATTATTTTTTCTGATTAACTTAAAAAAATATATTTAAAATGTGTAATTATTCAGATATTTTTTTAGTAGTAGAATTGTTTAGTTGAAAGTGTAATTGAAAACTGTACTTAACATACAGTGTTAAGTGTATTCAGCGTGTAGAAAAGTTCAAATAAAGAACTGCTCTATACTCAGTATAGAATAAAGTAAGTTAAATAATAAATTTTTTTTACAATTAAATGATTGCATTAATATTTATTTGTTAATAAAATCAATATAATGTACCAAAAACGTTATTATATCACTATAACTAAGCCATTTATAAGTCCTGAATGGTGTGGTAGAGGCCTGTAGGCACCTATGCTGGCACCGGTTTTCTCCCGCATAAGTGCATTTTCTACGGAACTGCTTCAAATATTATAAAAAGTAATCAGTGTTTTAGAAAGAAACATATATTCTCCAGATATTTTATTTCAGCACATTTTGCGTTATTGTTGGCAGTTTAATTACAAACAACGCTTTATTTTCAACTTGAAAATGTTTTTGTTAAATTTTTTGACTTTGGTGGTGTTTTTTATTGCCTAAGCTAATTATTTTTAAATATTTGTTCAAGTTTTATTATTCCCTGACTATTCAGCTTTAATAAAAGATCAACCATGAGGAAATTAAGCCCAGTGCTGATTCTCAGTGACCAAAAAACTAACTAACGTCACAGTCGTCAATCCGCCATCTTGACGCCATTTGGGCAGTGCGTTCACTTTTTTGGGAACATGGGCTTTTTTTCAATGAATAGTTACAAGGAACACAACGATGTGTAATTTACAGGGATGTGGGGGGAATGCACGATATGGGCTCTGGCCCACAGACTATATGTATAAATATGTAAGCACTGTAGGCCAAAAACAAAAGGTAGTGTAAAACTAAAATTACATATTTAAGATAGGTATAGGCCTGGGATGTTAGGGTAATCTTTTACAATAATCAATTAACCAGGAGTGGCACTTTATATTGTCAATATTACAAATTTTAAATTTTTTTTTCAAAAACACCTATAACGATTTTGATTAAATGGATTATATCAATGTAAAATTAAGTGCTGTTTATTATCTTAACAACCTGTTGCCAGGTCGCAACCTCTACCAGCAGCTTCCACCGATCGTCACGGCTCCATGCAGCCTCCATCTAGTTATGTACTCTAAAAATGATCTGAGAATCAGTTGCAAGTTTAATTCTGGTTTCGTTCAAATGCTGACAAGCCAAGTTGTTTTCTCAGACTGTAGAAGCACTTGGGAAATTATTTTTCTTCCAATTTTTGCTTCTGTGCTGTTGCCCTGGGTTACCATTGAGGATAAGTAAATAGATTCAGCAAGGCTAAATATAAACTATGAAAGAATTTGCTAATTGATTAATGAAAAATTGGAACTGTTTAGGTGGGACCGAGAACAAATGAAAGCACCAGAGTACTTTGCTGGGCTGAGAGATCAGAATTGCTCCCACATGTAGCTTCTACATAATATGCTATATTCTAAAGGAAGAACATGCAATTATATATGTGTACACACACTCAGTTTTCATAGATGCCAGTTGAGACATAAATTAATATTTGAGTATATAACTGTGTTGAAATAAATAAAAATACCCACAAAGAAATATTATTAAATATAGAGACCTCTTTCATTGCTGGTGTTCTTGTTGGACTGAAAACATTTGGTTTTCTTATAATTAAATAAATAACTAAAATATACAGTCGTACAGAAAACTTTAAGACCATGGTCACAATTTGAAATAGATCTGGACAACTGTTAGCATTGAATTACAAGAAAGAAAGAGAAAAAAAATTAAATAAATATCAATCAACTTACATTATGGATTCCACAGACTTAGGTTTGATGAAAACGGCTATTGGGTATAGCAGAGCAACTTGAAGCCTCTTGATAGCATTTCCACTTACATCCAGAATACAGTGCTTCCCCTAAAAAATACATATATCTTCAGTGTTGTTAAATGAAGTAGCCGCATTTACCATTAAGTGAGCTTGGTGAGAACAACTTACAAAATTTATTCAGTATATTTTAAAAAGATTTATAGAACAAACGAGCTAGAAAAAAACTGAATAAAAGAGGGACTCTAAAAGAATGAAAGAAAAAGGAGAAGGGAATAAAAATGAAATGTACTTTGTATAGTCTCTAGCTGGCCTGATACTAAAATGTTACTCAATATCTTTTGCTAACCAAGTGTCAGAAAAAGTTTCTTATTAATCAACTCTAAAACTACCATGGCAGTCAAGTCAACTGGTAAAATTAGAATGGAGAGAATTAAATATGAAAACATGTTTATTGCAAAATTAGGCATTCACACATTTTTAAGAAGTTGCAGTATTTAAGGGATCATCTTGGGTAACTTTATTTTCAAATATAGTTAATAATATCATAATTGTACAAGAACTTTTATGAGAAGTTTTTTGAGATTAATATTTAATTATTTTCTTCTTTGATCTTAGGTTTCAAATAATGAGATCTAGTTAATTATTTGATAATTTGGACTGTAGGTGTAAATTGAAAATAACAATTAACTCAGAATCTCTTAATGACTAATATTTTCAAAATTAGACCAACTAATACGTGGAGCCTGAACCTTCAGTTACTTGTGCCTCAGGATGAATTTCAGTCTACACAAAGTGATATGATCTTGCATTTTCCTCTCACGACTAAACACCACATAGTTTTCTTTCAATAATCATAATAATTTCTTTCAAGATAATTGATAATAATTTAATAGCCGGAAGTAAATTAGGTTTTACAATTGAATGAAAAAAAAAAATAATTAATTTGTTTTTTCCTTATATCATAAAAACCGACCATTAAATTTATTATAGTGGGTTAGAGAAAGCAGCAGTTATAATCATTATGACTTCCTTTTTAAATATATTGACAGTCACATATACTTCAATTGCTGAAGAATTATTTTTTCATCTTTTTGTAATAAAACAGCTAGAACAATTATTCTATTTAATAATTATAAAAAAAAAAATAATAACATATTAGTGGAAATAATTACCTTTTCAGCAACTTCCCTTACAGATGATACAGATGTCCCATAGAGATTTTCATTATACTGACCAGCCTCGATGAACAAATGGCTCTGTATATCTCTTTCCATCTCCTCACGAGAACTCACGAAATGATAATCACGGCCATCAACTTCATATTCCCTCTTTGGCCTAGTAGTATCTGTGAATAATATGTTAAATTATGAAATTGAATGCCATTAAACGAATTCTAAATGGGAAATACATCATGTAGCACTAGTAATTTAGATTGGTAAATATGTCTCTTTGATTTATTCATTCATGAGATATTCTACATTTAGAAACAAACATTTCTGTAACATGTCAAAAGGTTCAAGATGGCAAAAAAAATGCCTGCTTTATGTGATTCACTTATGGAATCATTAAGGATCAAAGGCAATATCAAAATTTTTTTAGCAAAAAATGGGTCAGATATAGATATCTAAGATATAGGCCAATTGCCATAGAGCAATATATAAAATAAGTTAATCAGGACAGATATTCAACTAGAGGAATTAAAAATGAAATAAAAATATGGTAAATATTTTAGAAAAATAATTGTGTTAAATCTTTGAGTATGAACATTAAACTAATACTATTAATTAATGTTTCATAATAGAAGAAAATTTCTTACGTGGTACACATGACCCAAATCTATCTGGAAATTCTGAGATAAGGTCATCGTTGATCCTATCTTTGAGCGGCCCCAGGATAATGACTGGCCTGGCGTAGGAGATAGTTTCTTGTACTACAGGCTCGTAGGACAGCACGGTCTCTTCTGTACCTAGCAAAGGCTTATTTAGTAATAACTGCATCTTATTTCACTTACATTCTATTTCTACATAGTACCTACTGACCAACTAATTAAGGTTGAAATATTACATTAATTGAAGAAAAGAAAAAAAAAAAAGAGGAAAATGATGTAATGGTTAACTATGAATAAAATATGAAGTTAAAAATAGTTAATGATAATTATAAGATCCTACATGTGAATTATTACCTTAGATGATGAAAGACTTCAACTTTAAAAACTGCTGAATGATACTAGATATAAATTGTTGAAACAAAAATGATAAAGACAAAAATAAAAATGAAATGAATATGGTCAAGCAAACTAGCAAGGCAAGGTAATTTATCAGTATAGGGTGTTAATTAGCGAAATCTGTCGCATAAGCTTTATGAGGCTGCATTACGTCATGATACATAAGCAAATTATGAAAGAAAAAACACTAAGGCACACAAATTTAGTCCCAGTTATTTGTGTTTAACTATTTCGATTTCTACACTCAGATGCCTGTCCAAGCTATAATTAGATCACATAATAATGTCCTCTGTTCCATTTCTTTATATGGTAGTATAATTGAATATATAAAAAAAAATCATCTATTCTACTTTTCAACACCAACTACAACTAGCTGTTGAGCAAAAACAGAAGTAGTAAAACTAAAAGAGAAAATTAATTGAAAATACCATCCTACCTAAACTGTAGATGAATTGGTAATGGTACAGATAGCCTATAAACCACAATCAGTTTTTTAACATAACTTGTTCAAGTAATTAACAATATAATATACTACTTACTTTCTGATAAGACTATTTATGATATCTTCCACTTATTATGGATGGATGAAAAATTAAATTATAATACAGTAGATTCTCCCTTCTTCGACATAACAAAAACTAATGCAATGTTGGTAACAGAAATGATCAACTGATCAGAAAGATAATACAATTTTTTTTTTTTTTTTCAGTCAAGCAAAGGAATAAGATTCATTAATCGTTATGAAAATTAACCTGGTGATGAAGTGTAAGAAAAGTAGAAAAAGTGATTAATTGAAAAAGTTAAACCAATGTTAAAGCGAATCTCAGAGATGTGACTAAAAGAAATAAAATAGCTTAATGAACTAAATTTTCACCTGAACAAATAATATTTGAATGAACTCCTTTTAAATGAAAAATGTGCATAAAAATTAAAGAAATGGTTGTTCAGATAAATGTTAATATTTGACTTTTTAATAAATAAAAATTAATTCCTACCAAAATTTACAAAAAAAAATTTCAAAACATCAGCTTCTTCCAACTAATGTTCATAAATAATGATTTTAATGTCAACTTTGCAAGAGCTCTCTCTGTCAAATGCTGTTGTAAAATCTGCGCTAAAGCAAAACTAATGATGTGATAGTGATTCACTATAAAATAAAGTTGTGATGGATTCCGACGGCACATAAAAACTTTATTCTATGGCTTTATACACAAAGCAGTAATTCAAATAAATAATTGCCTTATATCATGCACGACTTAAGACGGAATACACTTTATATCTAACCAACAAATTCATAGAAGCAAAAAAGCGTGAAATTTTTATAAATATTTTCCACTTTAATTAACCTAGACACGATAAAAAAAATTTATAATAAAAGACTTGACACTAACACAATAAAACATCTTATAGTATGTTAGTAAAACCACTCATTCATGTTCATATATGTTTTAGTATTGACAAGTCAAAACAACACAAAACGATAACTCCATGCCGAACCCAAATCCAGGTTCTGTTTACGTTTTGAGCAACCTCTTCGAATGAATGGCCTTACCGAAGAGTATTTCAATAAGACTAATGCTGCTTAGGCTAATACCTTCAGAGGATGGGTCTTCTTGAGCATAACAGAGCATAAACGCTGAAACAACAAAGTGACAATTAGAATAATATATCCATGTGTTATTAAGCAACTAATGTAGCAGATAAGTATGTATTATGATAAAACATGAAAATATTGTATTAATAAATATTAAGTGAAAAAAATCTCATTAAATTGCGATCACAGTAGAATCCCCTGTTTAATTTCAATCTATTGCACAATTGCAATAATAATCAGCATTTAATTAGTTTGTATTTTTTATTATTCTAAGCCAGGCAGACTGAGACCCATAAATTTGGAACTTTGTTATTATTCTTAGGAGACTATAGTCCCAGAATACAATTATTTTTTCATTCATTCATTCATTCAACCTCCTGTTATCCAGGGTAATGATATTGCTATGGGGGTTCACGGATAATCGAATTAAAATATTTCATTGAGTTAATGTGATAGATAAAATGTTTATATAAACAAAAAAACTGTGCAGAAAATCACTTTTATTAATAAACAAACCTTTTACATACATTAAATTATAATATACAAAAATAGATAAGAATGAATTTATGTATGTTTTTACATATGTATTGAATTTTAATTTAAAGAAAAAAATCAGTAACTTTAGTGTTTTTATTTAAAGATTTCGTTTCTAATATCAGTTCTCATGGCTCCTAGCAAGATAATTCTGTTATAATCGGCATTCTCTTATTCAAAATAGTTTAATGGAAGTTCTGTTGCCTCCAACGCTTTGATTGTGGTTGGTGTTTAATTTTTTTTTGTTTAAGCATTAAAATGTAACGTTATATTTTTTTGTGATATTTCTTTAGTTTGTATTTAAATGGAGACTAAAGCACAACTGAGTAAATAATTTCGTTTTGTAGGCAAACAGACCAGTAGGAGTTTCATAGAAAGACTTGAATATATTACCGCTCATATAATATGAATTGGACTGACTAGTAGTTACGGGAAACATCTCATTTATAAGACACCAGCTTACAGTGTTTTTCCTTCATTATTGTTATTAAAAATAAAAAAGCACCTTATTAAAAAACGATGGCCCCTCGGAATCCCGGTTAATAGAGCCCTGAATAATGGGGATCCTACTGTAGTTAAGATGTTAATAATTAACAACAAAACAAAATGAAATTTAAAACCTAATCATTTAAGATTTATTTTACATGTATTCCTAATCAATCTGTGACAAAATTATATTTGATATAGGTATATCATAAAATAAGTTACAATATAAACTGATTGCATAAGAATGGTTAGTAAAAGCCTTTATGAAGTAACTATCTCATACATTACAAACTTATGTAACAGGGAAATAGACTAAACAGGATTTATCTCCAAGCTTTGTGTTGCCATAGCAATATTAAGTATGTAAGAGTTTAGACAATCCGTGCATTGAATAATGAGAAAGCTATAATATTTGTTCTATTAATATAATCATTATTTCAAGATCTCAAATTAATATTACCATTTCATAATGACAACACAAAACCTGAGAAATGAGACGAATAGGTTAGTACGTAAAGAGTACTCACGCAGGCTGGCCTGGTCCACCTCAGTGTTAGGAGTAGACGGAGACTCTGATGCAAGCAATAAGAGAGATAACATACAGTGTGTGAGAGAGAGAAGGGATAAAGCGTCAAAAAACCTAACTCATCTAATTTGGCTAGATTGAGGGAAGACTGAAGGTAATAAATGGTTAACAATTATATTGGTTTAATTGATATTTTCAAAAATTAGTTTAAAGTGTCAAAACACTTCTCATAATTATATGATATTAGTGCCCTGGGGCACCGAATGTTATCTTCGGTTTTAGCTTTGAAGAGCAATGAAGAAAACTGTCCACATTTTTATTTGTCAGATGGTAGTATCTGAAAATATCTCAGAAGAGGAAATGATTACTGATAAAAATAAAATCTCATAAATAGAAAAATATTATAAATAAATATTTTATTTTTTAAAAGATGAAACTAATTTGTTTTAACTATACATAAAATACAGGATAACCAATTATTGTTTTGCCCTGGTATGAACATTATTAGTCCTGAGATATTTTCAAGTCGTCAATTTAAACCATTCATTAATGTGTAGTTAGTTTTTTCTTCATTTATTATGGCTAGTATTTAGACTTAGCAGGTTATAGGTTCATTAATTTATTTTATATTAATACTCCTTAACAAACAATACTAACATTAAAATATTCAGTATAAGAAATTTTAAAAAACCTTCAGTCTCCCTGTTATGAAAACAAATTATTCTATATTTCAAATCCAAGCATTAGTTAGGTTCATCTAAATTGAAATGTTTTTAAGTACATGAAGGATTATTTATACTAAGAAGGTAATTTTTAGATAGTATATGAAGCTTTATGTTAAGATTGGAGAACATAATCAGTTCTAGACTACAATCACTTAAAACACTTCACCTACGCTTTCAAGTTTGCCAAAGTTTTAACAAAAGTAAAAACAGGAAATTACACTAAATAAAATTTTAGAAGAATAAGGAACATTGTGACTTTTATCAAGATTAGGATAGCTAATCAGCTATCCTCAAAATGATGAGGAAGGTTGAGAAAATCCAACTTTAATCTTTAAGAAAAATTCTTTAAAAAACCTGGAAACCTAAAATGCATCTACAGTCAGCATCAGTAACTAACATTCCTTCTTTGACTTAAAATATAATTAAGATAAAAATCTCTTTTTCAAAAGGTTTTAATAATTAGTCATGGTTAGTATAACTTTGGGAATCTAAGACCAGACATTATTAAAATAAGATTAAGATAGACACAAGATAAACAGCATGAATCAATTTAACAAAAGACAGGGATTTATATAAAAATGAAGAATAAATGTGGACATATTCATGGCTAAATCTAAAAATGAGAAATACTTGAAAGACTAGATACAATATTTACCTAATACCTAATACCTAAAACTTCATAAATTAAAAACAAAAAGAAGAAAATTGACGAAACACTAAAATAATTCTGAGATTTGTATAGTTAACACATGATTCTCCAGATCAATAAACATAACATTAATCGAAGGCAATCTTACAACAATGCTTATTTTCAAGGAGGATTTTGTGAATTTGTCATTAAAATTTTAACAGCTCTCTCCCTTAATTCTCAACATACAGATCAAAACTTATAAAAACACAAATGCAAAGAGAAAAATCAACCATAATACATATACATAAAAGGTTCATATCCGATTAGACAAGGACCCTTAGTTACATAACTATATACAATAAATGAAATATTTATTTTAAGGGGGTTCAAATGAAAATTATAAATAATTTCAGTGGTTAAAATTATAATTAAAAGTTAACTGAATTAAAACAAATATAAGTTGATGACCCAGAGATTTTACATTTCTAAAAAAAAAACACAAAATAAAGATATATCTAGGAGATTAGAATGTTTAATATAATTAAATACTTTTTGAAAAAACATAAAAGATTGCGGCAATGAATAATGAGATAAATGAACTATTTCACCACAAATTAACATTAGTGTACTACTAGTTACAAATTAAATCATAACTTTGATTAACAAAAATGCTGCAAATTATTAAATAACAGTTTATTATTTCCAGATACTAATGTATAAAAAAAATAATCATAATATTTGGAGAGAAAAGACTTATGTAAAACGATTCAATAACTTTTATATTTTTTCTCTAGCTTCATAACTAATCAGATATAGGCATTTGAAATCTTTATTCAGACAACATTTTAAAACTGCGGATTCGAATTATAAATTAAAAGAATAATCTTGATTTTAAAGAGATCAATCTTCAATCAGAATATCAGATAAGTATTTGAAATATTTTATTTTTTCAAACAGAATATTTTTTTTTTATATTAATAAATATTTTATAATAATAAAGATTTAGGCATGAAATCTCTACTCAGCCATCATTTTAAAACAAAATAACTAAAACATATTTTGGACAAAAATATTGTGTAAAGAGTATTTATGACTAGAGAGGCGACCTGCTGAGCAGCATAATTACAGATTAGTAAAACTTTTAATTAGTTTTAAATATTTTATACAAAATATAAAATTAACTAAAAATTAAATTATGGTTAGCCTTTTAATGATAAACGAAAACTGTAATTAAGGGTTGATAAATATGTACACTGATATTGAAACAAACAGCATACTATTAACAAGAGACAAAAACAGAAAAGAAATGATGTCTGCAATCATTCTTAGAAAGAGTAAACAGACAATCAAGCTCCAACAAAGATAATGCTACATGCAACTTCTAAACAAATAAACATCAATAAATCACAAATGAAAACGAGTTTTATCCTTCAATAATGAACAAAGATATAGTTTAGACATTATACATCACCCTATATATATTTTATAATATGTGCCACATTCAAATAATTTAAAACTGAATCATATCTATTTTTAAAATAAATTGACAGTAATAAACAGAATTAACAAGCAAAGCGATTACAATTAAAAACTAAAATATATTAAATTAAAAGGGGCCAAACAAGCTTAAAGATAAGCATCACAAAATCTAAAATAATAGTTCCATAAAGTATGGCCTCTTTGAAATAAAACTATGGTCAAACAATAAAGATAAAAGATAAAATCAATAGAGATGATAAACAATTTTTTTACTTAAACATTACTTACGTTCTTGGTCAGAACCGTCTTCTGATTTGTCATCCTTACTCTTCATAAACGGGAATTTTCTACTGAATGAGAAATTCTTCTTTTTCCTCTCTAATGTGGATTGCTAGCAAAAATATATAAACATTGATTATTAATAAATACTAATTATAACATGCTATAACTAGATACAAATATACTATAGAATATTGAAAATTAGAATTAAAATATTAAGGAATGATTTTTTTTTTAATACCTTAATACTCTCTATATAAATTTTATTTTCCTTAAAATAGTGAAAAATCAATAAGCGAAATATTTTCCACGCTTTTCAAAAATATAAAACAGACTTACTTTGTCGATTAGTACTGGAAGGTGCCCTTGGAATTTCACAGACCTATCCCTAGCCCTCTGTTTCCTCTCCCATCTGCGCTTCGACGGGATGATACCGATACCTTCTTCTTCTCCTGTTGGGAGAACTCTTCTTGCCTGCCACCATTCATCATCAGAAGCATTGGTTACATGGAGAATATCACCAAAGTGGAAAGGCAGACCCCTCGAGGGAAGACCATCATCTTTGTTAGGATCATATTCAAAGAGAGCCCTAAACAAAAAATTTCTAGTTTAGATATATTTTCAAGGAGAAATAAAATGCTTTAATAGCTAAGTCTACTGTAAATAGAATAGGGTGGAGTGGCTGAGGGAGCAAGCCATTTGATAGCTCCAGCATATGGAGAGATTATCGTAGAAAATTTGAAAACTTAATGTAAAACCACAGGTGATATGACTCTGGAGTAAGATGACATCCCCTTTCTCGCCTTTTAGGCTATATGGAATTTTCCCAGGCCAAGTGGTAACGGCGGAGGATTAATGCCAGATTTAAAAGTCTCCCTAGGCACTGGAACGTGAACTTGTAACTATTTTATCATCCATAATTTCGGTATGAGGTTGCCGGGCTACGCGTAGTGCTATGCACATGTCGGCCTCTCTGCAAGACATTCCTGGAACATACCAATCCTTCAGAGCCTGAACTGGAATTTTTCTAAAAGGGACAAGCTTAATTTTGCTGTCCTTTTCACTCCCTCCACATCCACTACCAATAATTTACAAAGTTTAGTTTGTTTTGTATATAGAATTTTTACCTTATATTTTTTTTACATTATTTCTTTTTTTTGACTGATTTATTTTGGCCAGATGTAATATTTTAATTTTGTTCTATTTTGTTATTCTCAAGGAACTGTGTCCCAGAATAAAGTTATTTTTCTATTTCTAAAAAAATAATAGCCAACAGTGTTTTAGATATTTTTCAAAATATCATAAGACAAATTTATTTTATTGACTAAATTAAGATCAAAACAATCAAAAAGTAGAAACAAATATTTTTTATTTCACCTAAAAATACTATCTTATTTGAAATTCACTGCCATATAAATTCTGCCACGGGGGACACTTGCTCTCTTTGCCCCTCTATAGCCCTAAGGGTAGAGAGGAGGAAAATTAGTTATCATTCATCAAGGTGATATAATTTCCAAGTATAAATATGGTTAAGAGCAAAAGAGTTTGTAATGATCTTCCTTGGCTTCTTTTTTTCCTTTCAGAAGCTTAATCGCCATGAATTAACAATGGTGTGGTAAGATGATTTATTTATTTCAGAATTAATGGAGAAATAACATATTTGATTGACAAACGATAAAATACAAAGTGACCCAAATATTTTGATAATTTTTTTCTTTTTTATAAAATAGAAATCACACTTATTCCTTTCCATTTGAGAGAAAACATTTGAATTGATCTCTTACTTAAGTGAAATAAAACTTTAAAAATAATGTTAGAATACACTAGAAGTGAAAATTATGTTATCAATAAAACACAATAAACCCTACTTATATTAATTATGTAATTTATAATATCATAATTATGTAATAATTATTAGACTAACAAGTACATTGAAAAACTAATTATTATAATTAATTTCTTTTCTTCTCTTATTTTGGGCTATATAATAAACTCCAAGAGGAAATAATAGCATGAGAGGCTAATTTTGAATAATACTAAAATAGTAGTTCAGATATGTATATGATGGTTATACATATAAAAGAAGATAGTATAGAAAATTTAGAAAAAAAATTAATCAATTTCGGAAATTCATTAATCAAACCAGTCCTATTCGATTTAATGGAAAATAGAGGTGAAATAAGCTGACCTAACATAAAGGCTGCGCTTTTGGGAAGTTCTCAGCAAAGTGGCAGTAGGCATCTGCTGGGACAGAGCCTGCTGCTTAAGATCATGGATCCTGGCCTCGAACCTGTGGTACTCCTCAGGCCTATATTGAGCAACGATCGTCACTTCTTGTCCAGCTCCCTGCAAAGTTAAAAACTGAAATAATAAATGTGAACAGGTGTTTGTTTAAAACAGAACACAGCTCAATCATAGTTTCATAATGATTCATATTAAATTGAAAAATATTAAAAAATAGAAAATGATCATTAGAAGTTATGAAATATTAATGACAGAGAATAAATTAGTATTATACCATGGATACAAAAAAAAAAAAAAAAAAAGAAGACAAAAGAAACAAAGGTTCTCTTTTATAATCTATCTGAAACAGAAAACCAGCTCCCATGAATATAGCAACAAAAATTGATTTGGTTATGAAAATTGTTCACAGCTATATACAAGTATTGAGAAAAAAATAATTACTGAGGCATAGTAAGATATACTTAAACAAATGTGTAATAAAAATGTTTCATATCTCATATAAAAAAAGCTACCTTTTTATCATCATTTATTTATTTATACATTTATGATATCAATAATATTTATAGAAAATAAATAATACGTAAACTTTTTATTCTTTAAGTTCCTGAAGAAAGAATAAAAAAGTAAAAAAAAAAAAATTAAGCTGTAAAGATAAATTTATTATAGTAATCATTAATACTGCAATGACAATAGTAATGGTATATATACTTTAAGAGCAGCTGCAGCTTCTTCATGAGTAGCCTGGCTGAGATCTTGACCATTGACAGACAAAAGCCTGTCTCCGCGACGGATCTCTCCAGACAGATCTGCAGGGCCTCCAGCCAGAATGTAAGACACAAATATTCCTTCTCCATCTTCACCACCAACAATATTGAACCCAAGTCCTGTAGATCCCTTATATAGAATAACGGTTCGTGCTTCTCTGTAAAAAAAAAAAAAATAAAGAAATATTTTAATGAAAATTCCCATAAAATTAGAAATTAAAAATAATATTTTTTTTAAAAATTATGACTGATGGAAGAAAAATATAGCGTAAATGAGGTGATTGGTCATGGATTTTAGTTGCTGGCTCCTAGTTAAAGAGGTGAGAAAAGTTTTATTTTCAGCCCAAAAATTATGTAAAAGAAGAAGTATGAATACACACAATTCATTTATTGCTTCCATATAGGTACAATAGGTTGGCGATTTAATGATAATGTTCACTTCTTTAAAGCGTTATATACATACAGAGAATAACTTAAATGATGTCCGAAATTTAAGAAATCGACAGTAGACCAGAAAAGTTCGATAAGGCTATGGTTCAATTCCTAACAGGAAATAAGAAATTTTAATTTCCTGTTGTTTTACAGTTGTCACGATTTTGAATAGGAAACGGCAACTAAAAAACTATTTAAGTACACAGCTAAGTACTAGTATTGCCAGTGCACGTAATAATGGCTAAGTATTCAAATGCAATAATTTCAACTAATTCAGTGAACGTTGATACCAATAAATACGACGTACCCGAATCTACAGCGGGCCCTAGGACTGTAATATCCGATAAAAAAGTTGATACTCTTCATTCAAGAATCTATAAGAGATATGTCGTAGATGAGATGACACCAGAGAAATACTAGGAAGCAGGATACCCCAACCAACAAAAGCGTGAAGAGAAGAAGTAGACAGGACCTCACACCAAGCAACATCACAGGGGACTGTCCAAACGCGGGAGTGTCCCGAAGAGATAGGAGTCGGACAATAATGTCCCATAGCAGAAGCCAATATCCACGGTGTATGCTCAGGTAGGCGGCAATTTCAATACGGGGATCCTGGGGTGGCAGCCGTGTGCAACCGCCTGGGGGAACAGCTACACTCACCAACAGAATGGTTATGAAATAACTTTCGAGAACTTACGCTAATTATAGTTATAAAATAGTACAATAACCGTTTTAATTGAAATGTAATACTATTTAAATCAGTAGCCAAAAACCAATTACCGATAATGATAATAGAGTATTTCAGTATAAACATTAAACTAAAACATTTGGAGAGTTTCATAATATCGGACACTCCAAGCAGTTTTCAATATGAACGTGTTATTAGCGAGGCTTAATAAAGGAATTATTCATCTCATACCATACTATTTCGTAAATATGACTTGCCAGACTTGCTCCCGAACAAAGGTTTTTGTAAGAAGACAATCGCAGGTTTATATATAGTGATTGACGATTGGGTACGAGCATGAAAATTTCAATTTGTATTTGTCAGTGAAGGTCAGTCTTTATTAATAAAAACGCGAAAAGTATCCACTTTTTCTGATGCATACTTTCAAAAGTAGTTAGCATTAAAGATAAGTTAAAGAGGGAACGGAGATACGTTGCGTTACGTTAAGCTATTATCTATTTTGACTTAAAAAACAAGATGGACGAAATATTGAATATTGGGGCGCAGGACCTAAAATGGATATAATGAATATCAGCCTAATGCAATCATGCAATCAACAGCCTAATGCAAATGCCAAAAAAAAAAAAAAAAAAAAAAAATTGAAACAATGCCAAATATGGAATAATTTAAACAAGTATATTTTTATGAGTTCATAGGTTTTTTAAAAAAAATTAAAAATTATATGAATAAACCACTCTGAAATCTTCAAGTGGGAGGCACACTATCTTCTGAAAATATATCCACCAAGAGAAGTCATTTTTAAGGGCAAGACCCATTACAAATCAGAAAGAGAATTGAAGTTTTAAAAAAATAACCTCAGTGCATCAATGATAGCGTAACATATTCTTGGGGTTTGTAGGTTTAGTGACGATATAAAAAAAAAAAAACCTATGCCACTAAGAACCGATGGAGGTTCTTGTCTTGAGTTCAGTATAATGTGAGCAACTACTGTGACAAGGCCAACGGTTGTGACGAGCCAATATCACGCTCAACCGCCAGGCTTTCTCCCTTAATTAATTATTTAATTAAGAGTACCCAATTTATAGAGGCTGTGATTGCCTCAGGAGGGATCTCCGGGCCACAGTGTCGAGACCCAGGGCTGATGAAAAATTACTAGTCATCAGCGAGATTCGAATCTGGGACCTTGAGCTCTAGAAGTCAGTGCTCCCCCACTGAGCTACTTCACTCTCTTTAGCTACCTACCCCGCTTAGTGACGATAAAAATATGAAAAATCTGTTTTCGTGTCGGGTTGGCATTTCGTAAACTAGTGGTTCTCTCCGGAATGGTGTAACAAAACGTTAGCTTACAGAAAATAATTTGAGATGAGAACGCATCATTGTTGTGTAATATATTACTTAATAAATTGAAAAACCGAATTGAATGTGGGATCTAATCCAGAAATCGATCGAAAACAGCTTACGCAATGGCGTTTCTTCATAACAACCGCAACCCTCACGGAGCGAAGGCATTGTTTTCGCGGGTGCAATGACAAGGAAGATCGCCGAAAAGGTCACCCCGCCAATGTAACTTTTGAGAGAAAGCGAAAATGACAAAAGGCGGCGTATCCGTCGCAGTGCAGTCTGGGAAACTTTCATCTATAGTTGCCGGCTCTCGGAGATCGTACATTAGCAGATGGCAGAGAAAGCAAGGACTCGGGTCAGAGGTCTGGGCGATACCGCTCCGATTTGGGGTCAGCGCGGGAACCAGGGCTATCTGAATTTATTTTCGAAACGTGAAGAAACCAAGCCATCTTAGTTAAGCTCGTTAGGGGCAGCAGTTGTATAATATATTCGTTCGTTTTTGCATTAAAATCTATTCAAGAATGCTTTCATTGGCGTAAATGACATCCACGCAACACACGCGGAGTGGAGTGTGAAGGTGAAAGAGAAATCAAGAAAAGGAAAGAAATAATTCAAAAGGAGGAAGTGAAATATATGTGTGAGAGAAGGGAGGTTCTCGTTTCAACTAAGGAATAAGTTATATGGAATCCTTCGGAGCATCTAGCAGGAGCGGTATCCAGTTTTGACTTAAATAATGTTGTGGAAGAATTTTCCACTCAAAGAAATTACGAGGGCTTAAATAGAGATTACAAGCAGTTAATTAATATTGTAAAGAATAGTCATTTTAAAATAATAAATCAATGATGGAAATCTATGTTACAATTAAACTATGTACTCTTTATAAATTATAAAGCGTATACTTCAACTACTAAATGTAAGCACAGGATAGAAAAACATATCAAAACAATTTATGTATACACTTTTTTTTTGACAATCCTTTAACGGTAACTTAAACATAATATTACATAGCTCTCTTTTTCATTCAGAGTAATTACCTTTAAAAAAAAAAGAAAATTCCCTCCCAAAATTAAATTCTGTACACGATACTGATTTTAAGTAACATCATTATTGATGTGCTACAGTCGGAACACGGGAATAAAAGGAGAAGGGACGAAGGAGCAGCTTTCGGAACTGACTCCCAAATCATGGATAGTTAGAAATAAAATCTCAAAAAGACTAGGTCCACTGAGGAATCGAGTATCTCAAGTTTCAGGAGGAAGAGCCCTATATAGCTTACTGTTGAAAAAAAATACTAAGATAATATGCGCTGATAATTAACAAGCGTAAAACCTCCAAGTCTCAGAGTCTTAGAAGATATTAGCATCTAGCATAAGCGATGTAATCAAATATACAAGATAAATACATCAATCCTAGAAGGTGTATGATTCAAGATTGAATAAATTAATTTTAAAACAGTCTGAGGCCCTTGAACTCAAATCATACTCCCAAGAAAAATATTCACTAAATATTAATATTTATTTTACTACTTAATGTATAAAACTTTACATGATTTTAAGTTCTCAGAATTATAATGAATAAATAAAAAATCACACCAATTTCAAGTTAAATTTTCTAGACACAATTTCATCGATCTATTCCATTTGTCCGACAAGTCATAACGACTAGATACAATTTAATTCACACCTTTGTGTCAAGTAATTCCTCAAGATGGTTAAAAAGTAAAAAAAAATCTGTTACTTTTTTTTTCAAAGAATGTTTAATATTTTTAATCCTTCATCAATTTAATCCAAATTAAGGTGGATCGTGTTAAATAAACAACAAGATTGTTAAGTTCATTTGAATAAATGCCTAGTATTATTAAAAAAAATGTTATGTATGTATGTAATGAGAAAGAATGGATTACTACATGGTGCTCCAGAGACAAGCTGTTACTGGTCATCATTACAACCTAATTGTTTTTGTCTTAGAGGCAGAGAAAACACTCGGATGTTATAAAATTCGATCTATTTTCAATTATATATTTCTATAGAAAATAAAAATATACATTCAAACCGACCAACTGTATTGTAGTTGCAGCGATGAGTTTCGGTTGCCTTAGCTTGCACATTGTAATTAACGTCAATGCTGACCTTGAGGTGAGGTGAAGAAAACATATCCCTTACATAGTAAAGATTTTTTTTTTTTGGTTTAGTTAAGTTTAGTCTCTTCTTATTAATTAATATCAGACAAATAGATTACTTATGTATAATGATACTAATTTTGATGATGTGTTCGCTAATTTTACTAAATTGACCCAGAATTATGTATTTATCCTAAATAGAACTACAATGATTATAAAAAATATGAGTAGTTAATTATTAATTCTTTTAGATTCACATCATCCGAAAAGAAACTGAAAGATGAGTAATGAATGGCCAGAGGAGCTCTTAAGATGTTTTTTAACAGCGACTCAATATTTTTCTTCTTGAAGTCGTCTCGACAAGATAAACAGAGCTCGAGAAGAAGCTTGAGTAAGAAAACATCAAGAAAAAAACAACTAGAACAACACAGAGACATTCTGAAAGTGTTTACTTTACGAAGTACACATTATGGGAAGTTTTTGTTAAAATCCGAAAATGATTCACATTAAATAAAATAAAATTTAAAACTTAAATAAAAACGAAAATGTAGACCAGAAAAAATGATACTACACATTGCATAACCATTTTTTATTAAAAAATAGGCAAAAATCAGCAAAAGAAATAATGGATTATTACAGTAAGAAACTACAAATATTTGAGGCCATTAGTATAAATAATGCTATATCAGATAGAATAAATTAAATTGTACAATAAAATTGTAATGCTGCTCAACTGTGTTTATTATTGATCCATAAAAAAAAAAAAGATAAAAACTATAAAGACAATTCAGGTACTCGATAATGAATGATCAGGCGGAGAAACCCCACTAGAATTGTAAGATAATTCGAGAACAAAATCTAGTAAAAAGGTGGCCTTCAAAAATATTGAGCCGTTTGGCGTAACGTACAATCACAAAATTTCAAAATAACGAGGTTGTATAGACCAAACGGCCCAATATTTTAGTAAGCCACCTTTTTTCTCGATTTTTTTTTCTCAAATTATCTTACGATTCAAGTGAATATCAAATGGGTATTTACGAGTTTTTAATACCTAATTAAATAGACAAAGTTTGCCAATTTCCATCTTAAAACGCCCTATTTCCGAGAATTTTCATAAATAAAATATATTGGTAGGTTAAAATGAAATGAAGCTATTTACGAAGTTTCAGGCGGTTGTTAATAATTTGATAAAAATGGGTCTATACCAGGGACTATATTGTCTTAAAAAGCAGTGTGTGCTGATCAATTATTTTATTATTTGCCATCGAGTGTTAAATTTGAATAAATTCCTCCTTCCGCTAAAAAAATATGTTCTAAGAGTGTTAGTTTCCACAGAATACTCATTCAATCTAAGACGTGAAAACTGATTTATCGCCTTAATTTTTAAGATAAGAAGACGTGGCAA